GCAATCCCTTATGTAAACCTGGCAGCGAGGCTCCTAAGTGATAAGGCAAATTATTGCTTTGGTTAGGGACTGAATGTACTGGCATTACAGACTTCAAAAACAAAAAACCCCAAACCTAAACAAAAATAGTCAGCTAAGCAAACAACACCAGCCCCCCTCTGCTTAATTTGTTCTGGCAACAACAGGCACCCAAGTTCTTATCACATGCCAGATAATAATGGTAAATTTTAGCTTGTCTTGGTTTTAAACCGCAGCTGCTAAAAGAAAAGCCAACAAATAGGGGAAGTGTTTATAGTAAGCACAAACTTCTCAGTGTACAAATACATGTGTTTTTATACCTTGACAATTAACAGTGAGAACATGGAGTGTCATTAAGAGGGTGCAGCAGGGTACATTAACCCAACTCTTACTTTAGAGAGGCAACTATAGCATGTGAAGCCTTGACTTGCAGGACATAGGCCAGATATAAGGATCTCTGTGAACAAAAGGCTGATATAAACAAACCTTCCCTTTGAGAACATGAACATGTTAGAAAGCCAGCACGGGGTATCTGTGCTGGCAAATCTCACTGCAGCTGTGACTACAGCCACAAACAGGAATTTATGATCTTTGGCACACAAAGACAAGGCTAGAAAATACTGGAGAAGGCAGCCTGCTTACTGAACAATGGTAGTGGTTGCTCTAAGCTTTGGTTCTTGGGAACTGCACAAAGTTTTTCACAAAGTTTGACTGCTATACATGCACCCATAACCCAGCACCTGACCACTTCTAGCAACGAAGGGTACCTTCGGATATATATTCGATCAATATATAACAGCATTGCAAACTGCAGGGTGCCCTGCCACTGAGGGATGCTCCTTCAAAACAGTACCAGAACTGCAAAGAGATGCAGCTCCAGGTAGAACAGTCATATACAACAGCAAAGCATATTTTAGTGCCCTTCCCTGAGCAAAAGATCCAGGACATTGACAACAAAAGTCTGCAGACAGCAGGCACCTCTGAGCCAGCAAAAGCCAAGAGATTTCTGGTCATCATCAACAATCCCCTGCCTCACATTTTGGCTGCAAGAAGCATTTTTCCTACTGCCTGAAGGCTGTCTCTTTGCTTGTATATGAAGTTTGGCATAAAAGGCTAAGAGCATTGCTTGTAAGAGGCCCTCCTACCTTTGTGTTCACTTACACTTTAATATATCCTGTCCCTGAAGTAAAATCTATTTGAATGTTATTTGAAGCACTAAGTTTTAGTAGCCCTAGGCAGATCTAAAATCATTCCAGTTTCTACTGCAGTTATGTATACCTCTTCTGAACCAGAGTTTTGAGCAGACTTTGTCCTAGATAGTAGAAAGAAAGAGGGACCCAAAAAGGGACTCTGAGCTTCACAGAGCTGCAAGCCCATCCTAGCTCCCTCTCACTGAAGGTCTGGTAAGATCGCAGGGAGCCCTGGTCCCTTCTTTCTAGTCCCAAAGCTGCTGCCCCACCCTGGCTCATGAGGTCTGCAGTGTGGGTCCTGTGGCTCTCAACCAGGTAAAGATAAAGTATGTGTGTGGTTCCCATGGTCTGAAAGCTTGGCTGCCCTGCTCTAAAGTTCTGCACAGGAGCACTTGGAAAAATGAGATGTCACAGAAATACATATCAGGCTGCATATTGCCTGCAGACCTTCATGCTTCTCTCAGAGAACTCCTTCCTTCCTTCCTCCCTCCCTCCCTTCCTTTCCTTCCTTTCTTCCTTCCTTTCCTTCCTCCCTTCCTTCCTTCCCTCCTTCCTCCACTGTTTCAGGATTTACTCAAAGACTGCATTACAGGTATGGTTTCCTGCCACTGCCTAATGAACAGTTTGTCCTTGGCATACAGAGGCAACTTTCAAGAGAACACATACATTATGTGCTAGTGGGGATTATGGGTACATATAGTTAATCCACCTATTTTGGTGAGAAAAAAAGAACATATCAACTTCACAAATACAATTTTCTTAGGATAACAGGTGTGAAGAGAAGGTGATCCAGATTTTACGCCCTGCACTATGTTTTGACTGTTACTGATGTATCACGTAATTCAAATGACAGCAGCACCTTCAAAAATTTCCTGCCATGAGGAATCATACCTGTTAGAAGGCATAACATGACTTCAATGTTTAAAGAATTGGTAAGCTATTCTAGAAGACACAGTCGTAACTGTAGCTGCTACTTATTATGCAGATCTTCATTTTAAGGTTAACTGTATGAAGACACATGCTGAGGGGTATTTTAAATAGTATCAAAATTAACTAATCAACCAGAAGTCTTTCACTTTCTCCCTAAAAACCTCTGCTCTAGCGTCAAATGAAACTGACTGAAAATATATTAAAGATTATAGCCCTGGGTGGGTGGATGGGCGGGCTTACAGGCTTACTGTGTGCAGCTATTTCTTCACTGTTACACTTGCAAGCCTGCTAAAGGTGGAGTTCTGTATCTACTGTTCTGTGCAGCCCTTCACCCTCTTCTAATCCACCCATATCACAGTATCTGAGCATAGAAAGGGAACAAACCACAGGCGTTTTCATGAGACAGCAAATGATTATCATTGCCAAGAACAACCTTTATTCTTTTCTAACAAAGATCATATGATAACTGAGCAGATACAGTCATTTCACTAAAATGTATCAGATAATTACATATAATTAATGATAACATTTATTTAAGAACTGTTAGTACCTTGTGACACAACTCCCCTCAACAAGAACAGTAATGTGTTTGCAAAGCATTTTATGATCTAGGTCAGGTGCCAGAGTCCTTTTGCTGAAAAAGGTGAAAACTCCTAATGTAGCCTTGTACTGAGATGATACCAGGTAATATCTCAATGTGAGCCTAGGTTACACAGGAGTGACACAAGGCTGCCAACAGCATGTTTAAAAACACTCCTGATATATCAGAGCACTCCATTAATGACAGAGAATTTGGGTTTCTGACTGTTGTACAGACAGCTGTCCCCCAAGTGTATTAGGCCTGCAAGAGACCTCTCTTCCCTCTTAGGGATGGTCCAGGGCCTCCTCTCCATCCTGCCCTGCCCAACAACCTGCCATCCTGGAGCGCGGTCAAAACCAGCAACCACTATCTACTCCTTCTCTGGGAGCAGCACTAGATCACTGACAGAAGTACTGGAAGCTAACAGCAGTGCAGATACTCAGTTAAGTAAGTATGTATAAATGCGTGACACAGGACAGAAAATGAGGGCATTATTGAACAAAATGGGATCGCAAAAGAATTAATGTCTACAGCTTATTAATTTCCCAGGTAAAATAAGAGATGCAGACAGAGATGAAAGATCATCTGAAGGCTTGAGCATTGAGATTAGGCTTCTGCCTAATTACAAACACATTGGTGCTTAATGTCCTGTGTGACTGGCTGCATGGTTCTGAGTTACTGGCTGGCCTAACTGTCCCATACTTCAACAGTACTCTTCTAAGTAATCACAGATTGATGGGAAAGTATGAATTCCTATAGCAAATAATTGTTTTTTGAGGACTGTTCTCCTGAAAGAATCACATTTTTTTGGGGCACCTCATGAAGCACATCAGTCAAACATACTATCCCAGACATGAAACTCGTAAGTCCTTTGTTTCAACTTGATTTTCCTTTACACCTTATAACATGTAATGGAGAACGGGCAGGGGCAAACTATCTGCCAAGCTCCAGAGTACCAATGCAAGTCTATAACATCTGACCCAGCCCCAACTGCTGGGCCTTCTCTTGCTCGTAGAACTGTATTGCTTTCTCAGTTTTGCCAGCTGACCTACTTCAATAATTGTTTCCTCGCTCATCTCAGTTAAAAGGACCTGGATTAATGAAGATGTGTAAATTAACCTGATGTTTTCTGGCTGCAGGAGTCTTGGGGGCAGGCTTGGGGACAGTAAGCCACACAGCTGATGCAGGTAGAAGCTAAAAAGCATGTGTGCCTGTGAGGGCTAGAAACCAGATTTGGCGTATATACTTCACCACCATCACAATTCAAAATCTGGTGTTACTGCATCATTTCCTAACTCATCCCACCATTATTATAACCAAAATCTGGTGCTAGTGCATAATTTGCAAACTCATAAGGTGAGTGCTGTCTGTCTGTGCTAGTGCTGAGAATAGCACGCGTCTCCTGCTGACACAGTGGAGTCACTCAGTTACGTGTCTGGCAGCACTGCCTCTGCTTTGTGTTCTGCCTCTGCTTTGTGTTCTGTGTTGGTATGCAGAGACGCCGTGGTGTCATGTTTCATGACATGTAAATAGCACTATTTCCCACATTAGGCCAATCCCGTATTTCAGTAGCATACAGCAATTTCCCACAGTAACCTGAATCCTTTATGCGCTGCACTAGACACAAGAAGAAAGGGAACAACAGACTCAATTCAACATGTTGAGAACAACAAAAATACACTGGATCAGTGAGATATTCAGTGAAGAACTTTACAACAAACTAAACTGTCCATTACCTGTCTGCTTCACTGATAAAGTGCCAACAATCAAAACTCAAGATTCTCTTTTAGATGCTCTAGACAGACGGACTCTTACAGACGAATTCAGACAGATACTCTTTATTCTCTGTCTTGTCTGAACAACACTAGTACTTATCATTATTCCTGCCAGAAAGAAAAACTCTCAAAAGCCCCTTCCTTTTTGGATTAAGAATGGGAATAAAATCAGCTATCTGTTAAGACCTAAATGGGGAAGATCAAACATGCTTGCATCTTGTGCTCGGTGTAATTTCTAGTGCCTGATCTTAGATCAGTCCTGTCCATCTGCACTCCTTCACCAGCCAGCCCACCTTCATATGCTTGAAAATTTGTAATGGGAAGGCAAACTAAAGCACAGAGCTGGCTTTATAAGGAACCCGTTGGAATGTGTGGCTTTAACAGGGGTACGCATGTTAATTTGCCTTATACCCCACCATACTGACTTTGTAAGCATGAAGTTTTCAAAATGCCCAGAGCTGGTGGTGCAGGTACAGAACAAACACAAAGGAAAAAAGGACCACTAACCTGGGGAAAAACACATCACTGTTAATGAAGGAAATTTCATCTGTTAAATCCATCTCCTTCCAACATGAACCACCATCTGCCAAGCGGAGGCTGACCTGAGGTATTCCATCTGATAGGCCTGGTTGTGGCACTAGGCATGTTTGGCCGGATCCTTCCATTGTGGACTTTGTCATCTACAGAAGTAAAGAGAGAGAAAAATGAAGCATGAAAGGAAGAAAGGACAGAGCAGCCTTTTCAGATAATCTAACAAAAAGACATACCATACCAGTGTATAAACAACAAAGAATATGACAAGGTGAGAAATAACAGTATAGAATACATATGAATCAGACATTCTGTTTGATAAAGACTATTTAAAGAAAAATAAAGGTGTGTCTATGGAAAGAACAGGGGCTCTTTCCATAGGTCGCAAGATTTAAAAAAGGAGGGTAAGTAAAATAAACAGTTATTTTCTGAATCACAGAAAACTTCCCATTGAATCTGATTTGCTTCTTGACACAACTAGAGAAACAGATGGTAAAGGCAATCATACACCTCTTCTCCTATCCTTTTTAATTTCAAATGACGTCAACATTTACCCTGGAAGGAAATTTCTTAGACTGAAAATTCTGCATTCATGTTCTTTGCTGAGGCAGCCAGGACACAGAGCTGGAAGTTCAGCTCCCTAAATCCAAGGCAAAGTTTCTAAGCATCACTGAGCCTATCTACATGAAGCCAGGGATCTTGCTCTGCCCTTTCAGCACAAGCATACAGAACACAAGAGGAGACAGTGCTGCATTAGATGGGTGTCCAGTATCAGCAGCAGATAAAGGATGCTTAGGGGGGAAAGAGAGCAAGTTCAGAGGTCTGTCCCTCATGCACTGCCACAGCTTTTAGCAATCTGTGCTTTGGGTTTTTTTTTGACTTAAGAGGTTGCACCTGGATCGCTGTGTTATAAGCAAACATTGAGGCTAACCTTTGTGCTCACATTCAGCTTTCTCCTGTGTTCCCTGCTATGTTTAGCCTTTGCAAGATCCTATGCCTGGGAGTTTCACATCACATTTCACAACAACATTGTTACACACTAATTAAAGTTATATAAGAAAAGTATTTCTATTTTAGATAGGGTGACAGATATTTTTTCCCTTGTTTCTGAATTATGAGAATTTGCAAATAATAGTTCCTCACTCACCTTCCCCATACCATTCTTGACTTTATACTACTCCAGCAGTTGTCTCTTATCAGACAAAAAAACCAAAACAGCTTATATAGTCATCAATTTTACAGAAGTATTCTGATGTGTTTGATCCTTTTTGATGCTTTTCTCTACACCTTTTCTTTCACCTTCTGTAGCCAGAGCTGCAGCCAGCATTATATAAGTAGGCAGATTTAGTGGTGGCTTCTTATCAAAACCCAGCATTTTATTTCCTTTCATGATTGCTTACTGACAAACAGCTTTGTGATGTTTCAGCAGCATCAAGAGCTCTTTTCTGAAAACAAGATCTAATTTGGAGCTCATCAGTGTACACATTTATTTAATTTGTGGTTTGTGGGCATAAGTTTTACCATATAGTGATGGAAATTCAACTTGTAATTCTTTTCAGCCAGTACAGAGTAAATTAGGAGCCTTCTGTAAGTCCCTGTAGCCAGCTTTTAGTTTTTCCTACCTTAAGTAAGTTTCTAATATCAGCACATTCAAACTTTTTCTGGGTCATTACTGAAGTGGTTGAATAGCACAGATTCCAACAAAGATCCCTAAGGGACTCCAAGGAACCCTCTCTCCACTGATAAACCAACTATGCGTTTTTACTGCTTTCTAATTATTAATCCATAAAAAGTCTTTTCTTCTTATCACAAGACATCTTTGCCTCTTAAAAACCTTTGATAATCCTATCAAAACCTTTTGAAAATTCAAGTGTGCTACATTGACTATACCTATTCACATGCTCACTGTCTCCTCTGTGACAATTTTTTCTCTAAAGAAGTAATGCTGGTGCTTCTTAATGACTCCAATTATCCATTTGTTGATTAATTCTGCTGCCTGCTGCAGTTTCTGCAAATCTGCTGCACAGTAAGTCAGACTTTCCGGATCACTCTTGAACCCTTTTCTTACCTGACTTACCCTAAGAATATTAGGAAAATTCTTGGTGCTTCCTCTGTTTTATAATGCTTTGTTTCACTTACATTTGTATTCTAATGCTTTGTGTGCGTTGAAAAGTTTCATGGGACAGAAAGCTGCTTCTTACTGAAAAAAAATACATATACCAGAGGCAAAGGCAAACCAGAGAGATACATTAAGAGAGCTTCCCAGCTTCAGCCTCTGGACTGCATACTCTTGGTGAGATCCTGCCTTTGCCAACATCACTGGGCATTTTGCCTGGAGTCAATATCTCACCTTTGGACCACCACTGGCTTGAATCAATACAATGTCAGCGCATTCACTGCAGCAGTCACTGACTGTTGACACCACGGAAACTGGGCACACAGCACACAGGCATCAAGCCATGGCTCTCAGCTTGCTACACAACTTCAGCAGTGCTGTGATTTAAAACGGGAAGACCATGTCTGGGGGGAGAAGGGGAGGCAGGGATCTACACATGGCAGCATTCCACAAGGGACTCACAACAGGAGGCAGCAGGGCCCAGGATTTGGAGGGACCAAATTCTGCTAGAATGGCTATTAAGCCTTTCTTTCCCCCTGAAAACTTGCAGTCCCTCATTTAGCTGTTCTGCATCTGGAGGTGACAGTTGTCTCTTGTGTCTGCACCTGAACATCTCTCAAAGTGGCCTTTGGTGCTACTTCACCGCCTGCTAAAGCTGATGCCATGAACACCAGAAAAGCTCTTCACCAGAGTTACAAGAAATGGTGACTACACGTATGCACAGACCTCTAAACTAAAACAGCTCCTACACTGTCCTGTTAGTACTTTACAGGAGTACACGTGGGTCAAGCAAAACAGGCAACTTCTACGATGTAGCACGTATACCGGCAGCAACGGATGCCTGAAAAACAGCAGGAAGCCAGCCTTTCCATCCCTACTATACTATGTGCATCCTGATTTTAAGATTGCAATTAACAAAGCTAAATAATTTTGCTACTGGATACTGCATTAGTAAAACCTGCCTTACACAACAAGAAGCACTAGGAAACAGGCAGCATCTGCCGAACAGCATGTATCTGATTCCCTCTGTGCAAATTATTTATGAACTTTACACTCATTTACAGAAGCTCCTTTTACCGGAAAATTCCATTAAAAAACCCTATTTATTATTCTGATGCTCTAAAAGGAAAAAAAAAAGTTTTGGTACAGTCTTTAATTCTTCTCATTTTCTGGCAATAAAAGATCACTTGCATGCAGGCACTTCCAACAAAAGGCATGCCAATTACATAGAAGCTCTGCAAGAAAATTCTGTTTGAAAGATCAGATTCAAACTAGGATTATCACTGCATTTCCAGGGTACCTCAAAATCATTAAGAAGTGGAAGGAACCAATGTTTCAGATGATTTATAAGCTAGTATTTTGATAGCTTTGGAGAACAATATCATAGCACTGTAGTTATTTCTTTAGCAATATAGTCTACAAGTAATGGCAACTTATCTCTGAATTAAACTTACATTTAGTTTCAGTGCAAAACTGCTTTCAGTTGCATCTGTATATAAACACACTGAGGAGCACAGACTCAATGATCCTTGTGAGTCCATTCCAGCTTGAGATTTTCTATGATTCTATGTAGCAAAATGTATTCCTTGAGCCCATATGTATTAAAAATTAAATGAACTTTTTTGTTTAAGTAATATGTCTTTAATCTTTATTAACAATAGGAAGGAAAAAGGTTCACTGATCTCATTCTACAGTTTTTAGTTACCCTGTGAAAAAGCCATCTGCACAGCTATCGTAACAACAGCACTTCACTGGGGTGCCTCTGAGATGAAGATGCGCCCATGGGTAGACAAAGACTTGACTAATTTGAATTCCTTACAAAGCACATTAAAGAACTATGGACAGAGGCAGCCTAAACGCTTTTTGGGTGGTGAAGCTCACAAGAGATCATTTTTTGGCAGATTTCTTTGTACATGCATATGTTTCATGCAATGAAGTTTGAGAGAGCAATACCTTACAAAGTGACAATAATACCTTGCAAAACTGCAGTGCTCTAAGTTATTCATTATCAAGACAATACTGGGAAGAAAAGCATATTAGTTGTTAAATGACAGAAAAGAGAGAGAAAAAAAGACAAATATTGTATAAAGGCTATTCTAATTTTCTCCAATACACCCCTTTTTGTGCTCAGCCTAATGAGCCACCTTATCCTCCATGGGATGGGGACGATAGCCAGTGAAACCCCTGGGAGGGCTATTACAAAGGCACACGAGAAATCTGTAAGAAGTTCCAGCATTAGTTTAAAAGGAAACAACAACAACAAAAGTCCCTGCAGAAACTTGTTGCATGTTGTAACACATTTCTACAGGCTGTATCTTGTTACACTTTGTACGAAGTACTGTAGGAGGCTTGTAGTTAGCTGTGCAGCACACTCTCATTTGCATTTTGTCTCCAAAACAGCCATTCCACTGAATAACAAGGAAAGATTCAAGTGAGGTTTACAAAAGTCTTGAGTGGAAGAATCTCCCCCACTCCCCAGATAAGGGCAACCCTTAGCTAGAAGGCAGTTGTTTTCATCTCATAATGTTCTTGAAAGTATTAACAATAAGAAAAGAAAGCCATTGCCTATTCATTAAAATACCATCTTGTACAGCGGCTGTTTTGCTTTTCTCAAGGAGACTTTCGGAAACAGTATCCTGTTTGTGTTTTAGCTCACAGCCCTTTACATTTAGCTTACACCACTTCTATTAATTTTTTCCCCTCAGATTTAACAATAATTATTAAGTTAACCTGACTTCATTCCTTATCTGTTTGATCATTGTTACAAAGTCTAGTTGGAGGCAAAAAACTAGCTTTAATGATCTGGATGATGAGGCAGAGCATACCACCTAGTCTGCAGATGACACAAAACTAGGAGGAGGGACTGACATGCCAGAGATCATGCTACCATCCAGAGCTGACAAGAGCCTCATGTAGCTCAACAAGGGGAAGTGCAAACTCTTGCGCCTGGGGAGGAACAACCAGTATGTGCTGGGGTCTACCCAGCTTGGCAGAGAAGGACCTGGGGGTCCTGGTGGACAAGCTGACCATGAGTCAGCCATACGCCCCTTGCCACAAAGGCAGCCAGAGGTGTCTTGTGCTGCATTAGGAGGAGTGCTACCAGCAAGTCAAGGGAAGTGACCCTTATCCTCTACTCAGCACTAGTGTGGCCACACCTTGAGTGCCGAGACCAGTTCTGAGCTCCCTGGTGTTCTACAAAAGAGATGTGGACATAACTGGAGAGAGTCCAATGAACAGCCATGAAGATGATGAAGGGACTGGCTCATCTATCCTCTCAGGAAAGGCTGAGAGAGCTGGGACTGTTCAGCCTAGAGAAGAGAAGGCTCAGGAAGGATCTTATCAAACAGTACCAGTACCTGAAGGGAGAGTACAAAGAGGATGCAGACAGATTCTTTTCAGTAGCGCCCAGTGACAGGACCAGAGGCAATGGGCAAAAACTGAAACACAGGAAATTCCCTCCGAACATCGCGAAACACTTTGTGAGCATGACCAAGCACCGGCACAGATTGAGCAGGGAAGCTTTGGAGCCTCTATCTGTGGAGATATTCAAAACCTCTCTCATCGTGGCCCTGTGCAATTGGCTCTAGGTATCCTGGCTGAGCAGTGGGGTTGGACAAGATGACCCACAGAGGTCCCTTCAACCTCAATCACTCTGTGATTCTGTAATTTTCCCTTTCACATTCTCACTTATCCAGCTAACTAAACATGTTAATTGCTGTAAACTGTGATGCCTAAAATGGTGTGGCATGTGTCAAAGGAGCATTCTGTCCCAGGCAAAATCTAAGCCACATGGCCTGCCAAAGAGAAATCCATAAATCTTTGTAAAGCCATAAAAAGCTTCACTTCAGAACATGACACCAATAAATCCAAGGGAAACCCAGAAAAATAGAAATATTCTGGTTGAAGAACAAATCTGTCTCCTGAAGCATTTTCATCTGGCAAAGCCTAACCTCAAACTGCATTTGACAAAGAGCAGGTTCAGCCTGAACCAGGTATGTTGTGGGCTGTTAGGTTACACTTGCAGGCTGTAGCTGCTGAAAGCACGGGTTCTGCCAAAGTCTGCTACTCTGCAATTTAAAATGCATCTTTATTCTCAGCAAAATACAAGTAAAATAGTATCAGATGCTACTGACAATCAAAGGGACAATATCAATAAAGGATAATCAAAACAGCAAAGAGTGGACAGCTATAAGGAATTATTACACCACACATCCTGCATTAAGCTTTCAAGTTTTGCTGTCTCAGAAAGTTCAGATACAAGGAACTGTGTCTGCAGTTTTATTAGTGACCAGTTTTATGACCAATATAAATACACATCATGCTGGGTATTGAAGAAAGTGCAAGAAAACCTTTCCCCTAGAGGCACAAGCTGACCAGTCAAGGTGGCATCATCCCACACATATGAGAGCCAAGATTCTTCATAAATGGCTCGCTGCATCATAGAGATGCTTCATCTCCCTGTGAGCTGTCAGAAGTTCCTGGGTTCAAAGATAAAAGATAAATATACCATATATTCTAAAGGTCTGATGTGGTATGGTGACTCTAATCTTTCAATGTTCTTGAAGAACAGGGACTGTTCCACACCAAGATGCCATATGCATTGACATGGAGTAAAGATACATATCCTTAGCACAGCTCATCTTGCTTTTCTGGGTGTCTCACTCATCTTCACAAGAGGAAAAAGAAAAGCTTCCAACATCCCAAGCTATGTTGGACACGTAAATGAACACGTAAATAATCAGGGTAATTTATACTCATTTGAGTAATTAGGTAGTCAAGATGCAGAACTTTTTGAAGAAGCTAACTGTGAGTTTATAGTTAAAATGTCATAATTGAAAGGATGACAAAGATGTTTCCATGAGGTTATCATAAAAAAACCAACCAGCCAGGAAGTATTTAAAACATTTACAGTACTTTCATTTGATACTTACTCTTGCAAAGAGAGAAACCTCACTCAAAAATTTCCTTAATAAACCAATGTACTCAGATGTCCACCAAAACAAAGAGGTCCACATTACTTTCTGAAGAGCTTCATATTTTGTCAGCTTAGGGCTCTTTCAGCTTACAAGTAGTGTATATCAGTACAAATATTTTACAGAATAGAAAAAGGAATGTTTCTTTGCAAAAACCTAGTCATGGCTGAGTGATGCAGGGAAACTTGAAATGTTTTCTTTCCCACTCTAGTCTCAATTTGGCTGGCTATCAGCACAAACCTTACATGTTAATCTATCCACTCATCAGCATTACCTCTGCTCCGTGAACAACTGAGAAAGGGAGACATCAGCCAGGTGTACTTCTTGCCTGAGAGCTAACCAACCTTACTCCACCAGTTCACTCAACCAGTGAGAAAGGGAGACATCAGCCAGGTGTACTTCTTGCCTGAGAGCTAACCAACCTTACTCCACCAGTTCACTCAACCAGGCACACGTGTCTTTGCCAACAGACTGGACAACCTGGCAAAGAGAGCTTCAAACTAGTATCGGCAGAAGAAGGGGTGAGTTATAAAGACCACATACACAAAGCAAAACCAGGATTGAGCAGGTATACCTCCAGTAAGTGTATGCAGCCAAGGAAGTGCCTACAGGACATGACTACAGGGTATCCTCTTGCACCCCTCCTGGAAAACAGATATACTCCAATACTTCTCTGAAATGCTTGTATATGCACAGAGTATGGAAAACAAGCAGGAAGAACTAGAGATCTATGTGCAGTCACAGGGCTTTGATCTCATTGCAGACCAAAGACAGATCCACAGAGACATTGTGGGATAGCTCACATGACTGGAATGTTGTCATCAATGGCTACATGCATTTTAGGAAAGACAGAGCAGGTCATGGAGTTGTCCTTTGTGTGTGAGAACACCTGGAATATCTGGAGCTCTGTCTCAGAGTGGATGAAGAGCAAGTTGAGAGCTTATGGGTCAAGATTAAAGGGCAGACCAGCAGGGGTGACACTTGTGGGTGTTTGCTACAGACCACCTGCATCAAGAGCACACAGTAGATGAGACCTTCTACAGATAGCTGGAAGTAGCCTCATAATCATACGACCTGGTTCTCATAGGGAACTTCAACCACCCTGACATCTGCTGGAGGAATAACAGAGAGAGGAACAAAGAATCTGGGAAGTTCCTGGAAAGCACTGATGATAACTTTCTGACGCAGGTGATGGAGGAGCCAACGAGCAAAGGTGTGCTGCTGGACCTATACTAACAAACAAGGACAGACTTAGCAATGTGAAAGTTTGGGTCAGCTTGGGCTGCTGTGATCATGAGATCATGGAGTTTAGTATTATGTGAGGAGGAAACAGGACGATATAAGATTGCAACCCTGGACTTCAGAAAAGCTAACTTTAGCCTCTTCAGCAATGACAAAGACAGTGGGATTGAATGCATCCTCAGCAAGTCTGCAGATGACACCAAGCTGAGTGGTGTAGCTGACATTCCTAAGGGACAGGATGTCATTCAGAGACACCTGGACAAGCTTGAGAAGAGGGCCCATGTGAACCTAATGAGTTTCAACAAGCCCAGCAGGTCCAGGGAGGTGATTCTGCCCCTCTACTCTGCTCT